TATACCTTGCAAAGGTCTTCCTTACTCGATTTTTACCAATACATGACTAAGTTTACCATAGTAAGGATAACCTAGCTAACCCTTAGTTAGGACCTTATACATTTCAGGTATACCTGATGACAATTTCTAGTCGGGGTCCTTCAGTCGCCAAAACATCCCCCTAACATACTTCCAGAGGGCGGGCACAACAATATTATTATTTTTATGCTTCATTTATTTAGGGAATGATAAAATACAATATAACAGTAATAGATTTTTCAAGAACTCCACGTGTGTTTATACGTAATTTTCTACTTGCAAACGGATATTATAGGCATTATAACATTGTCCACGTAGGTTCGCCAGTAGTAACAACGAAACCAACGCTTCGCCGAAGCTATGGCACCCAACTATCGGCCAGAATTATGTCAGCCGGTATTGGTCCAATGCTAGCAAATGACTGGCTGTCGAAGGCCAACGCTTGACGGCCAACCGACGACCGGACTTCTGTCAGCCAGTATTCAGCTATTACTGGCAAATGAAAGATTGCCGAACGCCGACGCTTGACCAACGTATGGTACCCAATCGTCGGCCGGACTTCTGTCAGCCAGTATTTTGTCATTACTGGGATAGAATAGATCTTAGAATAGTACTTGTTAGTGGCAGTCATTAATTCTTTTTTTGGCTAGAATTCGTTTAATTACATGTCTTACACTTCTTATACCGTTTTTTTGGAGAAAAAAGTTTCTTTAAATTTAATATTCGTACTTGTTCAATTTTGGTTTGTTTCATTAAAATATTATATTCTTAAACAAAATATAATTTTTTTTAAATGATGAAAATAAAAAACTTATTTCGTCCAAAGAAACCATGTCGTTTGATGAAACAACACTATCGTTTTAAATAGTATTCTTTAAATGTTTTTTTCAAAATTTAGTAATTTGATTTGTTTGATTTGGATTTTCTTGGATCTTTTTAATTTTTTGTTTGGATTAATCATTAAAACATTCTGTAAAATATCTAAAAGTAATTATCACTGCTTCACTACATTATATATCAATATCCATCGCATATCGAATATTGTTGCATTGCTTCAATATCTATTAATAAATTATCCAACAAATACAAAATAAAAGTTATATAATTGTTATTTGGTGTTTGCTAGGTATATTATAATATACTGTGAACATTATAAGAATATATTATATAAGCATAAATCGTAAGAACATCGTTGGAGTTGTATCGGGAATCGCCATGTGCCGCTCGATCGTCTGGTAAATACTTTAACGTCTAGCAAAACTTTAATCGATTGGCAACATTTTAATGGAGTCAAAACTGGACAGGTGACCGGTATTACCGCTTGGAATCGAAATTATAGAGGGAGGATTCGCGAAAATTTGTAGTAATCTAGTGCGAAAGTAGGAATCTTCGGTTCTTACCGGTTTATGAGACATGAGGAAATTAAACATTATAAATGTATTTTTGTATAATATTATAATTTTCTCATTTTTCACCTTTGCACAATAATTTTCAGTATTTGATTACTATCAATATTTAACAATGATTTTATTATCAGTATTCACCAGAAATTAAGTACTGGCCAAAAAATTACTGAATTACTGATAATATTTAATCACTAATAATTTTTCAGTATTTCTTAGTATGATATTTTTATAAGGGCAGTACTTGGCCAATTGTAAAACCTTATATGGATGTTTAAAAGATGACTAAAAAATAAAAAATTGTCAATGTAGACAAAATGTCATCTTTTTCTCGCAATTTATTAATATCGGATATGTTTTAATTACCTTTTATATTTTATATATTTTATTAAAAATATATACACATATATATATATATTATTTTTCCTAACCTTTTTAATTTTTGTCCTTTACATATTTTAAATAAGTTTGTTTTGTTTTTTACAAAAAATGAAAGTTTTTTACAAGAAATGAAAAATGAAATTTATACAAATTGGAAACACGATTTCATTTATTTTCATTCTCAAGTTTGGTAGAAAATATGTTCCTCTGATGCACCTCATAAGAATGTTTTATTGTTCAAAATATAACGGACTCTCTTCGATGTCCATATACATTTGTCGCTGCTTAAACGGAGTACAATACATCGGCAGCTCAGTTTCGTAAAATTCCAGAAACTTCATAAGATTGTCCTCAAGCTCTCCATGATAAACCGAACCAGCGTATCTTGACTCGATATATCGTCGATGCTGCTCCGATATCTACGCAGAGTTCGAGCCTTTTCACTCGCAGTATTAATCTAATACTCACGCGTGGAAACTATACACAGGGCGTTTGATAATAAAAGAAAGAGAAAAGAAGAGTTTATAGGTAAGACCACTCACCTCTTGCCATTCAGACATGATTAAAGCGCACATGCAATCATCGACCAAACTATGAGTACACTGCAGCAAAGAAATATAAACATGAACCTTAAATACTCATATAGGATGCCTGAACGAATATCTTACCATTTGCGACAGCAAGATGCCACGGTTTTCGGCGCGCATACGCTCAAATCTGTCATGGAAAATAGCCGCGGCCCAGGGTTCATGGAAGTAGGAGTAGAAATCCGAAATAGGTAACTTCTAACAGCGCGAGAATGCGAATTGTGGATTAGGAACGTATTATATACGAATATCAAACAAGATAATGTAATATTCTCTTTCGCATTATCTCATCGAGTGCTTACTTTAAAGCGAAATTTCAGTTCGTTCAGCATACTCTCGTGCTTGCCATACAAAGCGATCATATCTTGCACTTCAAATGTCTGAAAGATAATTGTTGATTAGGAAAGTAATATCTATTGAAACGACGAAAAAGAAAACGAATAGGATAAACTCGGGTATTATAGTCATACCGGGAAAAATGGCCATAGGTTGTAATTTCTCTAATATCTGTAAAACTTTGCGTTTGTGTAATCAAAGATAAGCGATATTTATCGTAGTGTATATGCGAACATTTTTCGAAATAGTAAGATTATGATTATTATACTATGTTTATTTTCGACTACCTGTAAAATTTTTCATGTAACCACTAAAACTTACTGTAACGTCGAATAAATTACAGTTAAGCTATCGCAATCAATGTTAGATACATGAAAGAAAGTATGTAAATGGTAATGTAACATGCAATTTTTATTTTTGTTTTCACTATTTGTTTATAAATATTATGGCCATCTTTCACTCATATTTTGGGTAAGATGGCACACTATCATTCTACAATATGAATAATTATAGAGCGAAAGTTATGTTTCAAACATTACTTTCGATAATACAGTAATTAAATCATATGTGCAATATCTTGAACAAACGATTACATTTAGAATTTAAGTTATAATAGAATTTAAGTTGTAATAGAAGTTTCTATTTTATATATGTATTATATTTTTCATAAATAATATGTATTAAATATCCTATACTAAAATGAATATATCAAATTATATATTTTATATTATTTTATAAAATAAAAGGTGCATGAACATAAAATATGTATAGGTCATCTATTCTTTAATGTTATCCGAAAAATTCAGGTCAATCCTCATATTTTCATATTTTTATAATAAATAATTTCAGTGAAATATTTTCCCTTTAACTCTGACAATATTACTGTAGATTAGTATATACTGCAGGATTCAATGAAGTAATATGCCAAACGCTATTAAGAAATATCTATAAAAAATATATTTTCTTTTGCATTTTAGAAAAGTATAGCTATCTTATCCCAGTTTATCCTATATGTAGGCAAGCGTAGGTCATCGTGACAAAACGTCTCTCAATAATAAAGGCCTGCGAGGTTTTGTCCATTGAGATGTAACAGTGTTTTCTGACATAATTTTTATCGCTGGATCCGAATCTGGTCGTAGAATTTGCTTAGCACGTCAAGATTTCGAAATATTCTAACTCAAAAGTGCAAAGAATTGTTTTCTAATATATTTAAGTTAGAAGAACTCTGAAACATGAAAACATTCACAATAGGAGTTGAGAAGGAATTGAGAAAGGAAAAATTAGAGAGGCAACGTAACATAAATAAAAGAATCCTATCAGAAAAAGTGCGTGTTAACTAAATCTCGAATGTATCGAAGTGGATGAAGCCTCTTTTCCGCGACGCTAATCGACTGTCTCGATTGTCTCGATCCCGTCGAATTCGTGCCGCTTATAGCTGTCAGCCGCGGTGACAGATCAGGTTGTGTTGTTCGCGCCATATGAATTTGATACTTATTGTAATCCCAGCAAACACAATGTTACATGTAACATACATGTTAGTTACATGTAACATTGTTTGCTGGGAATATAATTTGTAAAAACGAATATTATAATATAAATTGTAAATACAACGAAAGAGCTAAAGTGGCGCGCGTGAAGCACGCGCTATGTGATGTTCTGGTGTAATAAAAAAAAAATTAGGAACAATTTGTAACCATAAACAAAAGAAACAGCAATACAAAACACTCGAGCACACTATCATGCACGTATTTAAAAAATATACGTGTCAATTGTCATAAATTTATAATCGTGGCTCCATCCATGAAATCCCATGCGCCTACACATTTTCTTTTCATATCTTTCACCTTGCCTCAATGATTCTCTATCCGGAAAAAAATATGATGTACCTTTTATTTTTAATAGAAAATTTCTTCTAATTTTACTATAATTTCAAATAACGCAGGAAATTGTTAATAGAGTTTCCTTTGCTAACAAATTTTATTTCATTTAAAATTTATATATTTATTATATTATTATATTTATGTTTTATTTTAGGCTCAATTCCACCAATGTCGATCAAGCCTTAAGCCATCTTTAAACTAATTGAAACAAAAACTTAAAATCAGATCAAGGTCAAACGATGTTTGTGGAATCCAGTCTTAGGGAATCATAGAATACAATATAAAACTAATAGATTATTCAAGAATTCCGTATATATTTATCCACATTATTCTACTTGCGAACGAATATTCGGAATATCGTTATATTAGGATATTATAAATTTGTATACCATTTAGATTGTCAACTACATTCGTGACATTGAAGGAAATTTGCAAACAGTTTCTCAGTGTTCGCAAAACATTTGCCAACTATACATCTGCACTGTGTAAAGAAAAGTAATTTACGCTTGCTCAAGTATCATATTTCACACAAAAATTATTTCCAAATTTAAATTACAAAAAAGTATCCATTATCTTCAAGCAAACAAAATATACTGGCATGGATATGGACATTAATATGGATGTGCAAAAATTGTACACTGATAGTTCTTGGACGAACTGCAGTCATAATTATAATAATTTCTTCAATCCAAACATTTGCCACGTTTGTAAAATAGAACAAGAATCTCTAGTAAATTGCACTAATTGTTACATGATCACTTACTGCAGTGAAAGTCATAGAGAAGTACATTTTAAACAACATCAGCAATTTTGCGCATATATAACAGAATATTTAAAACAGAACGACGACAAGGAACGTCGTTCAGAAACATCCGAATGGATTGAGTCAAGAAGAAAATTTTTGCGCGTAATCACGCAACAGTTTCCACGTAGTCTGCAGCCGTACGAAAAGCAAATGATCATTTTCGCAAGATCGTGTTGTATTTGTCATCAACAGATTGGTTTAACTCACTGTAGAAAATGCTATTCCGTCAACTACTGCGAATTTCATCGCCTAGATTTTAAGCGGAATCACGATTTAAAATGCAAGGAGTTGCGGTTAAGACTTAACCTAGATATCTTATATATCATACCAATAGATTTTCAACAATTAATTATATTTCCTAATGGATCGAAACCTTTTGAAGACATGAATGAGTTTGTTTCCAATTGTGTGCACTCTTCTTATAGGGATCTCGGTCCTAAGCAAATTATTACAAAATTTGCATATTTCTGTTCCGATTACGTATCAGGACCATTCACGCTGTATGATAGTATGAGAAAATCGCAGTTATTAGATCTTCCAAATATGGTAGGACCTCAATTTGTTATTCACGTAATTTCAGCAAACTCCATTGAAAATAAATATGTAAAGGCTTGGGAACTTCTCCAGCATGTTTTATGTCAGATAAAGGAGCTAACAGTTGTACTGATAGGAGAAGAATTGAAAACTCGAAATATGAATTTGAGAAGTTGTGATAGCTGCAAGTTCCAAAATCAGAAGGTTAAAGTTATATGTCGTCCTGAATCTTACCACAAGTACACGACTGATCCAACGTTTCAGCAACCAAATGTGATCATAATATTTCAAGCACATTTTGATGGAACAAACACATGGCAAGAAGATAGCTTATTGACACCATATCGTATGAACTGTCCATATATTCTAACAGCCGGATCGCAATCTATAGCGGAAGAGAACATAAGAAACATACAAAAGATTCTAAATATAAATCCTATATATGATGGACCAAACAATTTCAAGTCTCTTTATCCATTCAGACAGTTGCACACTGATTGCGTCGGTTATCGTAATTCGCATGTAACTATATATTGAAGTTCATATTCTCTATAAAAACCATTTTAAACAATTTGAAGCTCTTTTATGCAATTTCGATATCACTCGTATTATTGTAAAAAAACAAAAGATACATGATCTTCATGAATTATGAATATTTTTATATGATTTATTTTTTATGATTTATGAATGTTTTTAATAAAGATCTTATTCAACTACTTTTTCTTTTTTGTTGTTGTATAGCATACAATTTACAGATTTATTTTTGTACGGAAAGTACCGGTCAATGCGGAATGGACTTTTAATTGCGCGAAAAATTATAAACTCTAAATATTGCACAACTATCCATCACGTTCTGCACGAAAAGTGCGAACGGTTACAAAATGAATATTGCTTTGTTTGAAGATAGAAATAAATACTTTTTTGATAAACGTGTAGTGGTTAAATATTAGTCTTAATATTAATATATATTTAAATTCACAAACGATGTAGATTTAATGCTTAATAAAACTTAAATTACTGGATTCAATATAGAGGGAGAAAGTGCTTTAAGAATATGGTGCATAAAAAAAGGGTTGCTGCAATTATTGAAAAATGGAATTTGAAAAAAAAAAATAATTTAGTATTGTAATTGATTAATGACCTATCTTTACACCACTGTTATTTTATGGGTATGTTTCTCTATTGCTAAGCTGCACTTTCCAAACTTAAAAAAAACATATCTACAGATAAAATTTAGTGGAAGAAAGATGAGAGCGAACTAGTATAGCCAATTCAGCAAACTAAAGCAGATCTCATATATGGTGACGATAACAGCTGAGTGAGTTTCTTCGTGTATCAAAGAAAAATACGCTGCGATTTAAGTAAACGTTCTTTTAGACTATACTGTTAATATAGTTAAAGTCACGTAATAGTGCAAATAAATATATATCGATAAAGAAATAAAAAATTACCAATAAATTAAATTTAGATAAAATATTTAATAAGGAGATGGCAAGTTAGATTTGTTGAATACTGCATTTGTAGAGGTTATATTTCTTGTTTGAATGTCATATTCTTGAAAGGGACACAACAAAAATTTATGAAAGAAACATCCCTTTCAGCATTTGTAAAAATAAATATTCAGATAGTGTTGAAGGTTGGTACCAATATAAGATTTGTCAAAACTGGGCATACAAATCATGTGGTATAAGAAGCGTTTTTTTCCACTTTGCTATTAGGCAACTGTGATTAATGTATTTACCTAATGAATAAAAGAAAAAAATTGAAAAAAATTTAATTAATAAGTTAAACTTAATCTGATTTCCTGTGATTTTATGTTAATTTG